TAAATGGAAATTCACTTTCACTGAAGTTTCAAAGACATTAAGGAGTAAGCAATGGATGCTCTGAATATTCCTGAAGGGGAATATTCTTATTTTTTTTTTAATTTAATACGTATTAATTTATTTTTTTTTTAAATCCCAATATCCACCTCGCTTCAAACTCAGTTTTGTGGAGAAGCTTGAGATCAGAGAGCAGGGAGCTGTGGTGGAGGAGGCATCTCTTTCCTGCAGAAACATCTTATCTCATGTGGATTGGGTGCAGTCCACTACTGCAAACTGCCAGCAGAGATAAAAACAGTCCCACTGAGACCAGGGGAACCAGCCAAGTGTGTCTGAGGCCACAGAGGTGCACACCACAGGGCACAAGCTGTATGCAAGGCCAGAGCTTTAGCACCACGGAAGGTTATTACCTGCTCTGGGATTTATTAGTGAATTCTTGGCTAGGAGTTTGGAAATAAAACATTTCATAGATGAGGGTACGTATCTTAATGCAACGAAATAAAAAGCCCTTTCAAAATTGTACTGAATAGTCCAAGACAGTTAAATAAAATCATGGAATCACAGAACGATTTGGGTTGGAGGGGGACCTTAAATATCATCTAGTTTCAGTCCCCTGCCATGCTCATCCAGGCATAAACTCCATAGATAAACCCTTTAGAGGAAGAAAAAAGCTACAAGACGTGACAGGAAAACAGTAAGATGTCCTACAGGAGCTCTCCCAACAGTTTTGCTGAGCAGAGTGATTCATCCCTAAAAGCCAGTGGGGTAAAACTGGTTATCCAAGAGGGTCAGCAAATGCTACACTTTGTTTTTGTTAATTCCATGTTGATATAGCCTAAAAAATACAGGTTTACTGAGGAGGATCTATCTTTTGTACACTGCAGAATTTATACAAAACTTTTGGCACAGTTGCCTTGAGGTTTCACATGAAAATTGTGGAAAAGGAAAAATAACTTAAAGAAATCTGGGCTTTAATTTGTCACAGAAGACATAAGGCTTCAGGAATTGAACTGATCAGTAATGAAAAGAAAAATCACGCATTTTTTCTTTACTATTAATTATTAGGGCCTTAACCTGCTTGCTGTACACAGTTCACACAAAACTTCTGTATCTTTACCTTTAATTGGCCTATTTTGGCAGAGTCAACTATTTTTTTTTAATCATTAAGGCATTTATTCATCAGTGTGATCGATCTCAAGAGCAGTGAACGCTCAGTCTGCTTCCAATGGCTTGTTCCTGACTCACAAGGTCAGGCTGGATGGGTCTTGGAGCAACCTGGTCTAGTGGAAGGTGTCCCTGCCCATGGCAGGGGATGGAATGAGATGGGCTTTAAGGTCCCTTCCAACCCAAATTGTTCTAGGATTCTGTGGATTGCATCTGCCATTTCAGAACAAGGTCAACGAAAGGTAGACAAGGTCATTAAGAGAGATGGCTTGAAGGCACCTAAAATTATGGTCCTGAGAGAAGGTGTGTTCCCATGCCCTGGAACAAAGGAAAGCACACACCTTCATACTGTTGCTTGCTGCACTTCTTCACCAACATAAATAACTATGCTAAAGAGTCTCAGAAGCAAAGAATGTGTGTCCTACATCCTGGACAAGCACCGCCACACCTCAGGGACGGAGCCCAGTTTGGAAATGTTGTGAGCAGTTCATGGAAACAACTCTGTGGGGTAAAAAGTGATCCCATCAATCCAAAATTCAGATCGCAGCTCAGCGCGTGGCCTGTGCTGGGGTTTTTGCCATCCTCAGGGGATTTTGATCAACAAAAGGCTAAAGCTAAGGTCTGTTAGACAGCTATTACCATTTGCCTCTCATGTGATAATACCCGTGGAAGTGATATTTGGTCACCTACGCAGGTTTCCTCGAGGTGTTGACAAGCTGCACGTCATGTGTCAGAAAAGCTGAATGTTTATTTTCCACACTAACATGTCACTCATCTTATGTTAAGGGCAGCAACAGTGTGTTCTGTTCCATGTGAGTAAATTAAATGTGGCTGAGGCCATTCCCACGTGGCACTGAAGAGCTTCATCCACCCAACGAGACATTCATCATCTTTTAGCTCAGGGTGGCCACATCCAAACCACTTTGGGAGAAGCTGCAGGGCTGGACTGACTCCCCATCCATGCTGGTAAGTGCTCCCCAGGACTCCAGTGGGCTCAAACACAACCCTGCCAGGGCCACAGCAGTGATTTAGCCAAGTTAAATACTGCAGAACACCCCCTTATAGGGAGTGTGTACTGCATATAGAACCATACCAACTACTGGGTAAATCTTCCAGTATCCTTTTTTTTTACCTTTTCTTTATGATGCCAGCTGGTGGAAACATTGAGGGTTGAGTCCCTGAAACACTAGTGTTTAATGGGATCCTTGTCACCTTTATGTGTACAAACTTTGGCACAAGAGGAAAGCAAACAAAAAGCTTGGTGATAAGAAAGCTTCCCTGGATATTTATCGAGGTAGATTTGTTTAGGTGGTAACTGCTCTTTGTTTGTTTTCTAGGATCACATTATTAATGTGGGGAATGATTATTTTTTTAACTCAAAACATCTCATTCATGCTTGATTCTAAGATACATGTTCCACTGCAGCATTTGCAGTTGTGCCCTGTGAATCCGTTACAACCCAGGCAAGTGGTGTTTCCACTTCCAAGTGGAAATTGGACATTTCAAGCTTGAATGTTCAATTTGAAGCGTATTTGTTGCTTATTCAATCTGTCACGTGTGTGAACTGTGCATTTGACACAGTTTCACAACTCCAACACGTACAGGGGCTGCTTACTTGCTGTGGGAAGTCCCTGGGGAACACGACGGTCTGAACACTGCTGAGCTGGGAGCAGAAAACAAATAGATCTGCTGGGGATGCTTTGTGTCTGCTCCTGGGCCTGAACAGGCTGGTTCTCCAATGGTGAGGGACAACAGGTTATTCTACTGGCCTGACTGCATCCAGGAGCTCTGGCACTCGGAAGCCATTAGGGCGGTAATTTCTTATTGAGCGGCGGGATTGCTTTATGTCTGGGCAAAATTTTTGATCTACAGTGGTTAAGAGATTTTACCACCACACTGCAGCCAGGTTCATTCATCACGGAAAACAGCACTGTGTCACTCTGTGCAATAATCTATACAGGATCCTGTATCCTGGATATTCTGTGCAGCTAGTTCTCCATCTCATAAAGGACGCAGGTGACTGGGAAAATGTTCATGAAGGCTACAGAGCCGTGGGACTGCTTGTGTTGGAGAGATGACTACAACTCAACCTGGAAAAAAGACAACCTGAAAGTTTCATAGATGCCTATGAAATCGTGACTAACATGCAAAAGGTGGACAGGGATTGCCAGCAGTCAACAGGCAACTGGTCTCACCCAGTACAAGTAGCCCAGGGCACAAAATGAGGCTAAATTTGCCTGCTCAAAACATCAGAAGCTTGTTTTCTTTTCCCCCACAACCTGTATTTAAGCTGTGGAGTTTATTGCCACAGGATGCTCTAAGCTGCTAAAAGTGTGCCTAGGTTTTAAAAAGTCACTGGTTGTGTTCATGGAAGAAAAAAATCCATTGAGGGTTATTAAAAACAAGACATCGTGTCTAGGTCAGAAAACCCATAACCAGTAAATCATGAGTAGCTAAAACAATATTCTGGGAACATATCTCTCACTGCTCGTGTGCTTTCACAAAGTGTCTGCTTTCATCTGTAACTGGGAACAAGGCACTGGCACAGATGGAACCTGGTCCAGCTTTTCTGGTGCTTTTGTTGCTTTTTTTTCACCTTACAAAGGCCATAATGCTGCCAGTTCAGTGAGTCCTGTCAGCCCACCTACTACCAGAGCCTATGCAGGGAAAGGGCACAAAACCAGGCTTTACCCTTCCCACCCTGGCTTCCAGATCTTCTGGCTGCACCGAGGAGCTGTAAAGCCTGATGGTTTAATCTCCCAGGCCTTTGCTGGGAACGAGGGGAATATTGAAAGAGCGACTCTGCAACACATCCAGGTGCTGGGGATGGACAGAACCACTCTGGGGGGCTGGTGGTGCTGTACTGGTGTGGGAGATCTTCTGGATCAGGGATGACGGTGTCTGGGACTGAGACCTTTAGCATGGAGATGAATTCACTCAGGAAAGCCCTGGCAACCAGGGTGTTGCACACTACCAAGAAAAGACCTGGAGGACTATGTCTGCAGTCTCAAAAGTCAACTTTGGCATGTCTCCCTTTATTTCTGTGGATCCACAAGGCACTTCCTGAAATGCTATTAAATCTACTTCCAAACAACCAGAGGCAGAGAATTTCCACCATGAAACACTTCAACATATTATTTGTGAATTAAAATACTTATACAAGGATATTCTTGGGGATAAATTTCCCAGTTGTTTGCTTTAGTGGAGTAAGCATAGCATTAAATTACAGGGAAGCGCAACTATTATCTCATAGTTTTCTTTTTTTTATTATAGACTTTTTATCCACATGAATGATAAAGAAACTACAACAGAGTTAAATACTTTTTTTGATAACAGTGATTATATTCTTAATTACACTCAATATTAAATTGTAAAATATTTCCAGAGGAGTACAATCGTAATTCGTACAGCAGGCAAAATACCAGGGGAGGGAAGGGACGAGGGAGAGGGGTGTGAGAATCTCCAGTTTGCTTTTAAAAAGCACTGTGTATGGCTAACGCTGCTCTATCCATCCATCCATCCATCCATCCGTCCACCCAAATCTGGTTCTGGCCCATCTGGTGAGACGTTCACTTCTTTCCATAAAACAACCACTATCCCAAAGCAAGAGATGAACTGGCAGATGTTGTCAAGTGTCTGTGGCACTGAAAGGACCAGCAGTTCCTTTCACAGCTTATCTGCACGATTCGTCAAAAGCATTTTCTCTATCAACTTCAACAGTCCTTCTAAAAACACAAAGACTTAAACTTTGGTACCACCCAAAAAAAACCCAAAAAAAAGATCAAGGACAGGCATTTTTTTTTTGTGGTTTTGTGTTTACTAATAAATGGCTGCTACATTCTATTTGACATGGTTGTCCATGATACTATGAGGTCACTTGTCCTTAGGTTCAGAGGAACCTGATTTTTTTTGTTATTTAGATCCCCAAACACTTCCATTTCACAGTCTATATACAAGTCAGGTTTCTGACTGGGTTATAACTTATAAGGTAACAGCTGCAAAAACTCTTGTGCCTCTGGGAATTAAAAAAAGAAAAAAAAAGAGAGAGAGAAAGAGAAAGAGAGAGAAAGTGTTACCAACATTAAGTCCAAGTTTGAGATACTCACAGAATTATGACACTCATTTGCAACCCTTGAAAAAGGGACACACATAGGTCACCTGCTCTAGGAGCATCCTTTGCTAGCGAGTATCTGCAGGGTCTTGTGGAAATATCCACATTAATGATAAAGTGCAAGTTTTAACTGACTGCAGTGTGAATAAACACAAGAAGACCTGCTGTGGAAAGGAGCACAAGGCCCAGCAAGGGCAGCTGAGGAACACAGAGCATGAACTGAGGGTCCTCACCCCCTGGGTGTACTGTGTGGGTAGGGATGTGCTTACGCGTCTCTTCTTGAGGAGAGTCTTTTCTTCTGCTTGGCATATCTGAGGGCCTGAAACTGCTCCTGAACAATACAGTTGTGATTCTCTGCTTGACTGATTTAGCTTAGCAGTTAAGTAACAACTAATCTTTCAAAAGCACCAGGGCCTGCTTGGAGAAATCCCTGTTGTCTGCAGGGATGGTGTGCCTCTGGAAACAAAAACAGCGTGAGGAGCTCATCCATCCTTCACACTCCCGGCAGACAGGCAGGAAATGCTCGTTGCTGTGGTGCCAGCACCTTCCTTGCAGGGATTGTCAGCTGATGGAAACCTGATGCTGGGAAGAAACGCTGCCTTCTCCTCTGGTGCTGCCATCCTCAGGCAGGCTTTTATTATTGTACAGCGAGTGCTGTGGACAAGGCTCTGAGAGCAGGGCCTGCTGCTTCTCATCTGGGGAGGTGTGCTTTTTTATTCAGGGTATTAATATCACTGAATTTGTTTTAAATCAGCACTCAGATTAATCTACACTCAACCAGAAAGTGCTGGCAGTCAATAAGAAAGTCTGCACAAGAGGCCAAAACAGACCAACTAGATGCTTAGATTAATCTCCTTATCTCAGCAGGCAGAGCTCAAGGCCACAGATATTGGTTATCTGGTTACTCTATACTTACCCTTAATGTTTTTATTTTTAAGTATCTGATTCTTCCATAGCTCAGGCAAACCTCCTTCATCTGTACTATCAAACCCTTCTCAGATGTCCCAGACTTTCTCTTGAATACATCTACTTTGTGCATTGCTGAGATCTCTTTTTTTTTTTCTAATCCCACTACTTCTCCTCAGGGATTTTTTCAGTGAATCCACAAGCCAGATTTTGTGACATAACACAGTAGCAGGGCTACTAGCTTTTTGCCTCTGTCTCCAATCCCTAATCCTCTTGTTTTGGTTTGGTTTTTGTTTTTGGGGGGTTTTTTTCAAAAAAAGGAAAAAGGGGGACTTTATTTAAATGTCAAGACTTTAGCACTCAAAACTGGACTCTCCCAGGCCACTGTTGATGGAGATGGTGTTTCTACTGACTGAATACTTCTAATAAACAGTTCTGAAAAATGCAGTGTTGGGTTTAGGAAGGCCCTGCACATGAGCAGCAGGATAATTTCCTTCTGCAGGACACTGAACTACAGATCAACAGTCAGTGGGGTCCTGTAAAAATCCAAATATATCCTAATATGCTGCTCTTTCCTGGAGCTAAAGGAGTTCCATTAAGGGCAGAAAAACCCATTTCTACCTGCTGATGTGTGAACGTTTTTCTACACTGTGAATGCCAAGGTATTTCCCTCCTTCCACGGGAAGTAAAATGACCTTGATGACACTTCCAGTGTCAAGAAAAGCACATGCTCAGGTGATCAGAACCATAGAATCATTGAATGCTTTGGGTTGGAAGGGACCTTAATGTCCATCTCATTCCACCCCCTGCCACGGGCAGGGACACCTTCCACTATCCCAAGTTGCTCCAAGCCCCGTCCAACCTGGCCTTGGACATCTCCAGGGATGGGGCAGCCACAGCTTCTCTGGGCAACCTGTGCCAGGGCTCTCCACCCTCATAGTACAGAATTTCTTCCTAATATCTACTCTAAACCTACCCTCCATCCGTTTGTAGCCATTCCCCCTTGTCCTGTCACTGCAGGACCCAATGATCAACTCTCAGCACTATCTCCCACTCCACTGAAGCCTCACAGCTCATGCCACGTGTCAGTTACCAACTTTAGCTTGTATCGAAACACCTCCACAGACAAGGCTCTGACACCAGAACCAGTAACATCAAACAACAGAATGATCCCATTAATTCTGGCAATGGCTGCAAATAAAGACACCAGGTCAGGTGGAACAAAGGTTCTTCTTTCACAAGCTCACCTTTAGCTTTTGCTGAGGTGTGCACCGAGCTTTTCTTTCCTGATCAAACTTGCTGCATAGGGAATCTGGAATGACACAGAAGCAAAGATTCTGCTTTAAGCTAAGGTTTGGTTAATGCAATATCCAAGCTGGAGACTCCTGCAAATGAAAGGGTTTGTTTGCCTTCCTGGAAACAGTGAGGAATTTTAGGAAACAACGCCTTAAATTAAAAGTTTGAAGGCTTTAGGAAACTAAAAAATGGCCTGAATTAAAGCAACAGATAGATCTTAAAATTCAGCGTAAAAGATGTCTTCTGATGCTTTGTTTCTATCAGTTGCTGACAAAGAGTAAAGCCACCTGAGAGATCACAAAAAATCAGCTGTCTGTGACAGAGCAGGCAATGCACACTGATCCCTGCACAGCCAAGATACACTAGGTTGGGAGTATGAGACTTCATGTATTTATATCACCATAATTAGGAAGTTCATAATAGTTATCTCTGACTTGCACCAATCTGAGGGGAAGCCACTGAAGTGGAACAAATAATTAAAGAAAAACAGAGAACATGGGCATACTAGGGAACATAGTTATATTTAGAAACAAAGTGGGATGATGTGCTCACTGGCCACTGGGAATACAGTGCGGGGCTGCTCTTCTCCAATGCCTTGCCTTTAGAATGCAACAAAACTAATTTGCTCTGAGATTTCTCCATAGCTGGGAATCCAAGTGACTACAAATTCTTTGATGATGTCTTTTGGAAGGACCTTTGGAGGAATTCAGGCTGGGATAAAAAAAAAAAATCATTGTCCCAGTGTCCTTACGCTCGTAGGTGCTGCTGCACACTGAGGTGACCTGCTTCTGCTGCCAGGATCTCCAGGATACTCTCACAAATAATGTCAAATCTGTTACTGCAAGCTGACAAAAATGTCATCTGAAGTCAGCAGTAAGGCCTTAAGCTGCACAAACAGCAGAAGCAACAGAGGCAAATGCACTGAGTTCAAGCAACCTGCCCCACACACCTAAGGACATGGTAGAGCATGTGAATTTTCATCCATATCCACTGATCCCCTAAGTTCTTGAACATCCCTGGTTTTGATTTTAAATGCATTATGCCCACAGTGTGTGAGGATGTTTGTGTGAATTGTGCTCAGCATGTGTCTGGGTTGGTGTAAAACATTGTGTCTGCAATGGCAGTGAGAGACACATCCATCCCTGACTACCTTAATAAGGAAAAGAGCAGGGAAGGATCAGGATGAGGGGAAAGAATGGAGCATCTGCAGCTCAAGAACTAACCCTTTCATTTCTCAGGGAAGGAGGTCAATCTGATTGAAAGCAGCAGCACAAGGAAGCAGGAGTGTCTGTGGCTGAATGAAAGCAAAAGCCTTTCCTGGGGGGCACACTGCTTCCTCCACCACACAGCCCTGGAAAAAGGGAAATGTGTGTGCACAGGCCACTGATGGCTGGAAAAGACTAAGGACCCAGGTGTTTTGGCTGACTACTCTTATAGCCCCTAACCCTGGCAGAAGTTAAAAGCCATCAGGAAGCTTGCAGCCAGATCGCCCCGAAAAACCAGAGCTCTCCCCTCCACTAACAGAGCTGCCTCCCTGCGCTTGTGAAGGCCAGAAAGCTCCTCCTCCCCAAACTGCAGCAGGGAGGACGGTGCAAAGAAGCTGTTTACCTGATCACCCGTGGCCACGGTTTAGATTCAAAAGGGAGCCAAAGACAAAAAAAAAACCCCAGCACGTTCCAGCTGGGACCTGTGGTGCCTCACCCGCTGCTTTCTGCCTCTCTCCCACTCACCACGGCCAACAGGCAACTTGGATTTGCATGGCCGCCAGTTATGTAGGACATCTCCCAGGCTGTACTGACCTAGATAATACAACGGGGTACATTCTGTCAGAAATTAACTGTTCTTAATCCACTTCTCCGCTATATTTGGCGCATCGGCGCCTTTTTAACGTGCGTTGGTTTATCTGCTCTCCTGGTAGTAAATGTCACTGGGAGAGGTGGGTGTTCAACAGGGAAATGACTACTTTCTTCGTGAGTTAAATCACCTACAGTGTCATCTTCTACCTTTGTCGTTGTAAGAGCATTTGGCAGCTCTGGTGCTGCTGTGGAATAGCATTTACACCCCTTCAGTGCGTACAGGGTGACTGTTGTGATGAAGATGGGATCAGCACTCAAATGGGCGTGGAGATCCAATGGGTGGCCCTTAACAAAGGGGTCTACAGCAATAACAAAATTGCAGGCAGTTTGGATTCAAGCAGCAAGAAATCATTTTCTTATGACTAAGCCCACATTAACAGGAAATATGACACAAAGAGGGCAGATCTGAAGAGCAACCCCAAGGGAACTGCAATATGGACACTGGGTCCTTCTTCCTTCAGGCCAACTCCAGTCTAGTCCTGGGTACTGATCACCTGTTAGGAGGTAGAGCACACTCCTGTGTGCATTCCTTGAACACATCCTCATTTCTTTCACCTGGAAGGAATCCAGACCCAAGCTCTGGGTCTGCTCCACAACACAAAGCAAAGTGCAGGAAATTGGGTGGGAGTGGGGATTGATTCATTTCTAAAGTGCAGGTCTGATCCCTGCTACAGACACTTGGACACCAAAGGAGCTTTGGCACACCATCCTCTTTCAGAGTCATCACCTTTTCAGCCCATCTCTAGTGGGGTACACAAAGACACATCACCCTGACTTCTGTTGCTCAGAAAACAGATTTTGCACCCAGGCAATAGCAGAGGACGTGTTTGTGGTTCTCTGTACATCCACACCCATTTTTGATCAGACTTTCTGCAGATTCTAAGGGAAATGAAGCTCTTGCTTCTATTTTTAATATCTCTGCAAGGCGTTCCTTTTCTCTAACATTTGAATTTATGGGAGAAGGAGGCCCAGCGCTGTGCTACCAAGGCATACACAGATGTATTGTCAAGATAAAAATTTTGCTCACTTGTCTTAAAAAAAAAAAAAAAAGGCAACAGTAGCAAATAGAATAGAATTCTGGTGAAAATAGCACTTGTCAGCTCACTTTTGTGTGCCCATTCAGGGATGTGTATTCTACCTTCGGCATCAAAAGGACATGTTCCCAGTTCATAACACTAAACCCAGAGAGAACTCCACCAAAAATCAAATGAGGATAACAGAACACAATATCATCCCAACTGCTAGAGCACAGAAGAAAAAGTTAATTAGAACTTCTGGTTTGGGAGGGCAAGGTGATGAAATCTCCCTCGGAGTCTGCAGGACACACGGTTCCAGAAATGCTCTTTTACCCGTCATTATAGGTGTGTGCCTGTGAACAGGCACTCGAGCACAAGATGCAGCTCAAGAAATCCAGGAGCCATTCTGCTGAACAACTGTTTGCCTCTGACACTCTTGTCAAGGTCAGCCATTCCAGCTGGACCACTTCAAGGAGAGGACAAAAAGCAGAAATGCCCATAAAGCACTGCAATTTCATATTTCCTCTTCTTGAAACTGGAGTGACAGCTGTGCAGAGACCGAGGCCTCCACACACAAAAATAGGGATACTCCTTGTTTGTATAATGAATAAATTAGTTGTACAAAGCACCAACTTTCCATGTACAACCTAAAAGAGGAATTAAACTTTCTGGTGGTTTGTTTGTTTGTTTTTTTTTTTAATTACAGTGGCACCCAGAGGAACATGATCTCATACCTCTGAAGATTTACCAGTATTACCACATAGTAGATTTTTTTCTTCTTTTAAACATTCCCTGTGATTCTTTAAAGATGGTGCAGAGATGGAAATCAGTTTTGCAGGTGTAGAGTTCCTGATTTATTTTATTGCCTGACTGTGAAGAACAGAGTTGATTCAACGTAGCACTTGGAGCAGGAAGCCATAAAACATAGAAGGGTTCCAGATGGATCCAGTTCTGAGCTCTGAACATTATTATCAGCCCAAAGTTAGGCTACTAAGGAGCAAGTCAGTTAAGAAATTAAAATACTCCAAACAAAACCAAACCAACAGTTCCCATTTAATCTGGAGAGACAAAGGACTGCCTGAGTATTTCACATTTTCCAGCAAATCTCAAAAAACTGCCATCTTTTACCCCGACATAAAATTAGTGGGATTGGTCACTACTTGATGTTCTAAACCACAGTGGGTGATGAACTGAGCTTTTCCTGATGGACAGGTCACCACTGAGGTCAGCACTCCCTGGGAACCCAGAAACTACTTGTAAGGGAGCTCTGATAGGAAATTAGGAAAAGCAACTCTGTTTTCAGGAGACAGAGTGTTCTACTTCTCTGTGGCAACGTTTGAGAGGGGTTCACGAAAACATTAAAGGATAAAAATCATCACGCTGGGAATGCTGCTCCTGATCTTTTTCTCTCACCAGGCAGCTTGGAAGAAAGTTCATGCCTTTAAAACTTGATCCACTAACACAGTTGCTCAGAAAACAGTATCAGAGAGATACAGAGTCTCAAGTAGGAGCTGACTCAATACTTCCTTAAGGTGCTGCACTGTCCTGGCAGATGAATTCTGGTAAACACTGGACAGAAACTGACAACTCTAAAGGCAGGTGAGGCTCTTCTAAGGCCATACCATGTGTGTCATGAGACAATTTACCTGAGAGAATTTACCTGCCTGGAATTTGCAGCAATTCCTTCTCTCTGGCCCTTTTTGTACAGCTTAGTGACAACAGCCAGATGATCCACCAAATCACAGAACCTTTTAGGCTGAAAAGCCCTCTAAGATCACCAAGTCCAACCATTCCCCCAGCACTGCCAAGGCCATCACTAATCCATGTCCCCAGCTGCCACTTCCACGGGGCTTTTAAATCCCTCCAGGGATGGGGACTCCACCACTGCCCTGGGCTGCTTGTGCCAGGGCTTGACAACACTTTCAGTGAAGAAATTTTCCCAAATATCCATTCTAAACCTCCCCTGGCACAACAGGATTCATATGCAAACCCCATATTTTATATATGACCTCTGAGTGCCTGCACTGTGCTCAACCAATCTGGGAGAGAGCACTTTGAAAGAGGAGGCAGAAAAAAATTAATTCACTGATCTGAGATCCATTTTCCAGTTAAATATGAGTGGAAATCAGTTGTTCCCTGGCACTTGGCTGAGAGCTTGGCACAAACAGGTTGCAAAACTTTCTGGTAGCTGCTCCAGACACTGATCAAATCCTTTTCTCTGAAACACAGGGAGTTTCACCTCCACATCAGGAAGAAATTCTTCACTGTGAGGGTGACTGAGCACTGGAACAACCTTCCCAGACATGTCGTGGAGTCTTCCTCACTGGAGATATTCAAAAGCTGCCTGGAAATGCTCTTTTACCTGTTATTATAAGTGTGTGTGCCTGTGAACAAGAACAATTCTGAGTAACGTGCCCTGGGGGGATCCTGCTTGAGCAGGGAGGTTGGACCAGACGACCTCCAGTCATCCAGGTCCCTTCTAACCTGAACCATCTTGTGATTCTCAGCAAAACTGGTGGCCACACAATGTCCTGCTGCCCCGGCACCCTGCCAAGCCAGGCTGTGCCATCACTGAACACAGAACAGGACAGGACCCACCCCGTTTTCCCAACGATCAGAGCCTTGCTTCCAACTTTCCGGAAGACACGAAATATCATTATTCTTTAACCCCGGAGAGGGCAGGGCACTGAAATACCCCCCCCCCGCTGATTAAGCCCTGCTTTAAGCGAGGCTTTGGACGAGGAAGGGAGAGGCCGCCGGCGGCGTGCAGTGTGGGGCGGGGGCGGCAGAGGGCGCCCGGCCCCGCCGATCCATCCCGCGGCCGCAGCTCCGCGATGGATTTCCCCCCAAAAAAACCCAAAAACGGGAGAAAAAAGCATCGCCGGCCACTGTCCAGCACCGTCCGGGCACGGACCGCGCACCACCTTCACCCAGTGCTTTCCGTGCCACACTCAGCCTACAGCGGGCGCTGGCGCTGGAAAGCTGTCAGATGCCACCGTATTTGCTTAATTTTTTTTTCCTGCCTCTTGTATTCCAGGTATTTTTGACACAGGAAACACGCCAAAGATGGTTTAGGCAGCTTGAGGGGTTACAGTACAGGGGGAGTGAAACCATCGTTCTGGCAAAACCTGCCTCTGGTGATCACGGTTACAAGGGATCAGGGAATCACAGAATTGTTTAGGTTGGAAAAGCCCTACAAGGTCATCAAGTCCAACCATTCCCCAGCACTGCCAAGGCCACCACTAACCCATGGCCCCAAGTGCCACATCCACGCAGCTGTTAAATCCCTCCAGGGATATTCAGGAAGGACTAATTTAAGTTGTATAATCCTTCAGCAGTGAGAAGAGCCAAAAAAACCCCCTGACTCTGGGCATTTACATTGTTTGTAAAATAATTTTTAAGAAGCAATTAAGCCAAGTTCTGTGTCTAATTATACCAGTAAATTTGGAGTTCAACACTGCAAAGGTGAAGGTCTAAGTAAAATTAGGATTTAAGTATGCATAAAATACTTCTGCTTTTCTCTTTGCACTTCTATGTTAACAGGAAAATTTGGCTAAAGTTCTGTTAAAGCAACAGTACAGCATCTCAGGTACAAAAAAAAACAACCTGCCGCTGGTTTAAAAAAAATAACAACAATTAAAAAAAAAAAAATCAAAAGTAGCCATGCTTCTCATGTATTCTGCACCAAAAGCTTTAATTCATCCATGCCATAACCCAAGAAGGCCAAAGTAGTTCTATCGTTACCACATTCAGTTCATTAATCTTAATTCTAGGACATAAACATACAAGATATATTCACATGAATGAATTAAAGTAACTGCAGGGATTATCACCTCAAAAGTGCTGACTCCATCTCAGTTATCAACCAAGACATCAGCTGAAGATTTCTTTACCAGTCTTAAACAGACACACTCGTTATTTGCAGCAGTCTCTCACTTCTGCATATGCAAATATCCTTTTATGTGTCTCAGTGTCACAACCCGCCTCACAAATACGAGCATAAGGACTTGACTTGATGATTTGACAACATTCCTATTAGTAATAATTAAACTCAGGCAGCGACAGTGAGGGAAGAGGTCCTGAATTGCTGGGGCAGTGCATTAAATGTTGAAACTATTCCCTGTAAGTACATTCAGACAGCTCTGTTTAATGATTAAATGACTATTAGTCTTTCTGTAGCCTGCGTCAGTAAGTGGAAAGGGTGTGAATTACATGATCGTATTTCTTTTCCTGCCCAAGAAAATCAGAAAAAAATGACCACAGCTGGCTCACTGGAAGTCTGGGATATCCAGTTTCAGAAGCAACTTCACGACTGGGACACAAAGTGAATGGCAGGGGTGATCCATTCTCTCTTTGGGAAGGGGAGCTTGTTAGCTCCAAGCTCAGCTGACACAAGAGATAAAGGCTGAGGTGGCCCTGTAAACTCTGTGCTTCACAGCAGGAACTGGGCAGGTGACCTGCCTCAAATACAAAGCAGTAGGGGTGCTTTTCAGGGGTGGTATCCTAATTAACATCTTCTGTGACAATGAAATTCACAGATCAAGCCAAACTCCCTGCCTGGCATCAACAAAGAGGGACGTGGTAAGAGCTGGACACATTAAAGGAAAAGAGTGGAGACCAGCAGCAAAAAAAAAAAAAATATCCAGAGATGTTCTGGACTTGAGTTTCCTCCATTACCAACCTCTTTCAAACACCCTCCATCTCTCATTGAAATCTCTGAAGTCAGCAGGAACAGGGCGCGTGAACGTTCGGCAGCTCTAAAAATAAGGCCAGTCCTAAATGCGTCCAAACGCCGGCACACAGGTTTGACAATCCTGGCCTTCAGCTTTGTTTTTATGTCCTAACCCATCAATTAGAAAATGACAGTACCAGGAGGCTGGACCATGCCTTCTCTGCACCATGGCCCACGACAAGCAGAAGGAAAATTTAAGGTGCTGGAGCACGGGGTTGATTCAGGGAAGAGGGGATATTTGGCAAAGCTGCCTCGACACAAAGGGCTGTTAAATAATGTCAGACTGATCATGGAGAAAGCACTAGCAAAGCAAGTATTAGCTGACAGCCTCCTGTTTGTTACTGTGCCCTGCTCTTAAAACCACTAATCAGTGTTTGAGTATGAAACATCTTCCCATGCTCCAGCCGCCTTCCTTGCACTGGATTAAGCATGTCAAGTTTTCAAAACAGCACAGTTGTATGTGATGATCTAGAGTTGCACTAACACACAGGCAAAATCCCTCTTGATTTTAAAATAACAAGCAAGAGACCCAACAGTAAAGTGTGCCTGCACTGAACTGTGTTTTGGCAACTCGATCCTTTACTGCTGAGTTAAGCACTTCTTCTAGTGTCTGAAACGTGAAAAAGACACATCCTAAGGTTTATTTGCTGGTGAGAAGCTGGGCTCGCACAGATTCCCTACCGAGGGCTGAAATGCACCCCTTGGCAGCTCACATGAGGTAGAAACATTTAACTGTTTGCTGATACAATGCTCCCATTCCTCCCTGCTGAAGCACCTCTCGGTGTTGAGTCAACACATTTCATTTAGCTGAAACATGAAGACCCATCTGGTTACTGTATGAAAGTAAATCTCCAGGTAATTAGGCTCTAAACCAGCTGAGAACTGCACACTTAGGTCTTGCTAACTACAAGGTAATAGGAGCTCGGTGACAGTGCATCTGCATGGCTCACAAAGGAAAAGTTTGAGGTGTGCATTTAAAGAACATAAAGCAGCAGCTCATAGCATTTTCAGTGGAGAAGGCAAACTTACAATTTGTAGCTGCTGTACCATTTCTTCTCTGTACGCCAGTTCCCGCTTCATCTGATCTTGAAAATTATCTGTGTGAGGGGGGACAAAAAAAAGTAGATGCAATAATTAAAGCAGAGACCACACAGCAGAATTCATATAAATCAAATTATATCAAACCCAATCATCACTGAGGAACTGAAGCACTACACAAAGCCTTTCAGCCAATTAAAATGCGTGCCTAAAAAAACCTTATGTATTAGAAGACACTACAGACAACAGAAAAACTGTGAAAAAAATCAGATTTGGCTACTTCCCCAATCAGCAGATCTAGGCTGCTAAGTTTCTGTTGCTATCATTTATTCCCAGTTATTTTTCTTGATGGGCAAGGCTCTGCAGTCATTACTCAAACTTCTACCAACACTGAAGAGAGGAGCAAAAACTGCTCTCCTTTGCTTTGGCATAAATCTGTTGGACATCAACAGCGATGTCCAACATCTGAGAGGAGAAAGCGTTCAAGGATGCAGGGTTTGATTTGTGGTGTGTAACACTGTGCTGATGGCTTTGAATAAAACTCAGACTAAAGCTCTAGAAACAGTGACGCGGAACTCAGAAGGGAAAAAGTCTTTGAAAGAAAAGAGCCTGAACAGCTGGGCTATAGCACAGTCCTGCCTTCCTGCTCCAGTAGATCCTCCTTCCATTATTTTCCTCCTAAGTAACCATTTCAGACAAAATTTCATTCGGTAGAAGATTAACTGCTGGTCTGTGTTCCATAACATTGCTGTTGGAGGGTGGGAAAAAGAAAAACATAAACAAAACTATTGACAAGAACCAAGTAACTTGAAGAGCTGCCTTGGTGGAGATCTGGGTGCAGTGATGGACTGTTAAATGGAAGGGGAAAGAAAACCCGTTCCAACCAGTATCATTTCAACCCAGAAAATAAGCTTGTCCTGGAGCACGGAACCAGTGAGGTGAATGCCATTGGAAAACACCATGGAGAGCCCGGAGAAGGGAACTGCAAGGCCAAGGTAGCTAAAATGGTTTATTTACAGGTAACCAATTAAAAGAGTTACACAGTCACGCTGGCTGCTGGGACACTAGCCTGGGAGTCAGGAAGCCTTTTGGCTCTGCTGGACTCCGTGTGTGTCTCCATGTCTCCTTTCACTACAAGCAAAGCACGAGTAACAGCCCTGCTTCACCTGCCAAGTGGGTTGGGAGGATTAATGGATTAAAGGACTGGGAAGCTTTGATAGCACAGCACTGTGAGTGGCAGAACTGCCTAAAATGCAATGGAAAGATCTGGGCCCAGGTGAGACTGTGCAGCTCCTATAAATAACCTGTGCTGCTGCAACGCTGGGAACTCACCCGCTCCCAAACTGGCCGTGCAGCCTCTGCACCACTTCCCAACCCCAAAAAACAGGAGCAGGAAGGCAGGAGAGCAGCTGTGGCACGACTCAGTGGAGGGGAAGGATGTCCCTCATCTGCAGGGAAAAGGGGATTTGTCGCCATCAAGAGCGGGCATAGCAAGGCTGGAAGAAAGTACAAGGGGGCAGAGCTCTGTCCTCCTCTTTTACACGTGAATTTTGCCCTCTCTGAATGAAGAGTCAAGTTGCTATTTAAAAGGCAAGGAGGCAGGAAAAGAGCAGTGAAACAAAGAAAGACAAAATTTGGTGGGCTGAAACCATCAGGAGTCCAGCACTGTCACATAGAAAGGGACATGATAACATCCAAATGCAGTTCTTCGTATTTCAAGTAAATTCCCACAGAACTTTTCAGCTTATTCCCCCCCTCTACTACTCCAACTTGATAATAAAAATAAGCCAACAGAAATAAAGCAGGTTTACAATTCCTCTTTTCCTACCCCCAGAAAAGTCATGCTGTATAAAAAGGTGATTCCCTCCTGCCCTGGTCACTGAAGGCTGATAAATCTGTGCTAATTCCTATTGAGGTCCTCCAGCCTCACTCTGAGCAGGCTTTAAGGAGAAATTTTCCATCTTTCCTCAACACTTTCCTCCTGACTGCCTCTTTACGGGCTCATCACCTCTCAGAACAAATAGCTCAGAAATCTTTCTCAGTCCTGCACGGCAAATGTCCAAGCTCACAGTGGAAATGGGTGTTAATGGCAGGGAGAGTGTTGGGTTTTTTTTTTCCGGCAGCATTAATCCGACTCCGAATGCTTACAGACAAAGCCATAAGCAATACCCAAGAGAAAAGATATGAATATTTAAATAGCTTTCTTAACACAAAATTAAATACTTTAAGTACCCAGACTACTTCTCCACCATTTTATTGCCACGGTTGTTAAATGCAGACGGACAAAACGCGGAGCAGCCGACACCAGCGGCACAAACCAGCGGAGGGTTCCAGGAGAACCTGTCACCAGGCACAGGTGCTTGTATTTCTATCAGGACAGCAAACACTCCAATTTTCTACAAGTGATCTGATCTTTGGGGTTTTTTTATTATTTTCTTCAGGTGATCTCTGCTTTGAGAGATCCTACGGAAAACCTCACCTGCGGCTTTCAAGTCCAACAGCAATATGAAACATACAGGTGCAAGCAGCAGAAGACAAGGTCTGCTGTTTTATAAAACACCACAGTCCACATTTCAAGCAGGTACAAGAAGCCACAGAGAAGCTTGGAGCATAGCACTGCTACAAGAGCTTGCAAATGAGCTCAGTTCTCATTTAAGAGTGATTTCCATGAGGAGAACTCTGAAACCAACCACCACTTACACACAAGAATGCACAGCCCTGTTGTGGATAGTGGTTTATGACTATTAACCTGTAATACCCTGAATGTGCTCTGTTCCAAGTGCAAGACCCAACAAAAGGTGACTTTGGAGTTAACTCCAGGTAACCTGACAGAAGTACTTTCTAGAGAGACATAGCAGTACCTTTCACATCTCACGTGTTGCCTCCCTGCTGAAACAGGGATGAGTTTTCCCCTATTTAAAAAACCACCAAGAAGACTCGAAATTCAAAGGCTTCTTATGCATCTGAACAGTTCAAAGCACAGGGAGATCCACCACCAACCATCGGAGTGAGAATTACCCTGGCAGTGTGTTCCTGTCCCTGGTGGCTTTAGGGATGGGACAGAATTCCAGTCTCCATGACTGCTCACCCCGGTGCTGCATGGAGCCAGACTGGGATATAAAAACCTGTAACCTGCCTGCTCTTCGCTCCCTCCTGCAGCCTCAGGTATTTCCAAGCCATGATAAATCCATCAATACAATTTTAATTTTACCTCAACTTTCATTTAGCTGGATCTCCAAACACTTCTCTCCCTAGCTCCTCCTTACCCAAGACCACCAGAGGCAGTTTCTAATTTGGGAAACCTGGCAAAGTAGTCTTTAATACTTGACCTAAAGCAACAGTCCTGTTCAGCATCAAGAGCCTGGAACAGAACCCCTCTCTTTTGCTAGAACACATACTGCTGTAGAGGGCAAACCACCCTTATCATGGATTTACACTAATTTGCTTTACAAAGACCGTTTTTCTTGTTCTATTATATGTGGAGGAGGGGCGGGTTTTTTTGGTAAATCTAAATCTGTAAATAGGTTTTACGGTCACTTGTAGGTATTGTTTATAGCACATTATCTGTTTTCTATTTTAATCCTGAAGAAAATTGACCACTACTTTGTGGTACGTTGAAACCACATATTTTTCAAGCCAGCATACAGCAGTCACCACTTCCTTGGTCGGCCGTACGTGTTCTTTTCTTTTATTTGAATTGTATTTCATGTGGTTTAATTGCAGTGTTTATTTACATGGGCAATGGCAGAGCATTAATTTTACTGCAGAAGAACAAAAGGATAAATAAGAGACCTGAATGGCAAAACTCCAAGGTGCCACTTCGCCAATACCACACAGCAGTGTTTTGATCTACACAAATTATTTGAAAATTACCTCACTCCCAAACCCAAGTAATGACTGTATTTATTCTGAAGGATGAGGTTATACTCCTTTCATTATTATCTGTATCATGTAAGGCAACTCTTTATTTATGGAGCTGTCTACATATTTCAATATTTGGGCTGAAGACAGAGTCATTCCCAGAGTCTTTGCACTTCCTTGCTTCCCTGAACTTGCCTATCTGATGCTATAGGAAGGGGAAAAACATAGTTTCTTTAAACTTAAAACACATGAACCCTGCTAGGTGTCCATTTGGTTTCATTTAACACGTGCTCAGTGCGTTCTGTCGCCCCGGGACAGCAGCACTGCGCTCATCAGCTGCGGTGCAAGGGCCATCTCCAATAGCCCATCTCAGGGGGGAACAATCTAAACAGGCATCTCTCGTGCTTAAACACAGGCCAAATGAATTCTCCAGCATCAGCTACAACCACCTGAAAATGGGTATGAAGCACCTTGTCTTCAAAAGCCCCTAAGAGGCTGGTTAAGACCAGTATCACCGTACCCCGAGAGGCTCCAGAAGCGTTTCTCCTTCCTGTACTCAGTGTTACCAAACCCAGTAAAATATACACCAGAACAGACATCCAGCTTTATATCTTCCCTACATAAGATCTGCCTGGGCAGCCTGCAAAACCACACCAGAAGTGCCACTGTAGAATCACGGAGTGGTTTGTGCTGGAAGGGACCTTAAAGACCATCTAATTCCAACCCCCTGCCATGGGAAGGGACAGTTTCCACCAGACCAGGTTGCTCTGAGCCCCGTCCAACCTGCCTCAGCAGAACTAAGCCAAAGATCCTGGCAACACAACTGAGAACATTACTCTCCCATTTTATCAACCTGGCAACAACCAACCACGCACACACAGCACCAAAACCACAGAGATGTGTCTTACTGAAGACTGGGAAAGACGCGTTTCCTTTCAACACCTGGAACTCCTGTTCCAGTCTCCTTCGTAAGTCGATCTGCTCAAACAAAACCTTCTGGAGCTCCTCTAACAAAGAGAAGAGAAAAGTGGGTGTGATAGTCTGTGTAAATAACTCTTGAAGGAACAGTTGCAGAGCAATTCATTACTATAAGACAAAATATTTTAGCGCTTATTAGGAAAAAAAAAAAAGCGTTGCATAGACCTACAATAGATTTTGTGCAGAAAGCCATGAATATAAATCAATGTAATATATTATTTTAAAGTATTATATTACAGTGTCATGTATTGATTGATATATATGCATTAATCTCAATTATATCCACCCAAAGGTCCATATATTATTCATATGTTACTTGACAAGCTTAAAATATGGTGCAGAACAAAAGTGCTCCCTATTACCCTCATATTCTATTAAAACAAAGAGCAGTTTTATAATGTAAGAGGCCCTTATTTATTTTACCTTTCCCCATGTTTTCCACATCCTTCTTCAGCGAATGAGGTGAATTGGTTTCTTGTGTGTGTTCTCCTTAAAAAAAAAACAAAGAAAAGAAGTTATTGATTTACTGATAGTGCCTTTTTTTTTTTTTGTCAGTGTTGTCCTTACTATGCAGCCGCTTCAGAGAATCTGGAGAAAAAAATAAAGGGGGGGGGGAAACACAAAGAGTAAGATTGAGCTTTATCTACATTATCTGTGTGTGCATAGCACAAATATTTCGCAAACTCATGCTTTCTTCTCGTTTACTGAAGTATCTGCCTACAGCACAGGCTCTTGCAGACAGTATCTCCTCAGCATCCAGGATGGTTCTTCTTGCCAAATGGATCCCTGCTTTCCCTCTAACCCCTCTTGAAGATGCTCCTATCAGAGAACAACCAGGAGCAAGCCGAGAAAGGGAAGAGCCTTCTCCACAGCCTCATCTCTCCTCCTCGCCACGGGAAGTCTGTGCTGTCCACCTGGGCAGGACCCTGCTCCAAAATCCACAGGCAAAATCCCTTTCTTTGCACCTGCCTTTTCGCCTTCGTCAGCTCCTCAGCTTTATCATCTCCCAGAGCTCCGTGGCACGGGCATGTTGTAACTGGATATAATTTATATCCAGCTGAGATAAAATTGACATTAGTGGTATTTGCATCTAAAAGATACAGCTCTGAGGTCAACCAGTTCAGGGACTTGAGTCTTAGGTTGCTCAAGTTAACTTTTGATCATACTATAGCACAGAATTTTCTGGATAAGAGAATTTGACTATTTCCAGACACATGCATGCTACTTCCTTCAGTTTTTTTCCTTTACAAATTAAATTTAAAAAAAAAAAAAAATTTTTCACCTGCTGTTGAGTTCACCTGGATGACAGTATGACTTAAAAATCGAACCTTCTGACAAAAGGTGTTATTTTCATTATCCTCTGGAACTGTGAAATTTTCCTCTGATTTCTATGAATCGGGTTTTGAACAAAAAGCTATGAAAAACTGTTTTTAAAAGAAAAAATACCACTTTAGCTGAAATTGATGGGAGATTTTCTGTTATTTACAGCTGAAATAGAAATGGACTCTCGATAATTAAGAGAATATTTGGTAAATAACCAATTATTGAAGTAATTGGATTAATTCTTGTTTTAGTCCAGCCAGTAAATACACATCATTAACTCTGCTGATAAGTAATCACAAGAGACATTTATATAAATCTACTCATGTGTTTATGTATTTGGAAGAGAGAATCATGGAGAAAACATCTTGGTTTTTTGTTGTTCTGTTTGTTTGGTTTTTTTAAATAAAAATCCATAGCACTGAATAGGTCACCACACAACAGACAACAGTCACTTTAAAAATAATTGTGTCATCACAGTGGGCTAATTTTAAAATTGAATTGGAAAGTCCTGTTATACATGCAGTCAGAAATCTTTCTGCAAAACATTTATTTCTGTTTTTAAAAATCGATGCAATCTTATATCCAGTAAACCTTGAAGTCTTACTATATGAAACCTGTCCAATAGCTATGCATTTTATCATTTGCTTTCTCTTCATTCCTTAAAAAAAAGCCAAAAAGCAACCACTCATTCAGGCACATACATTTACACAACTGGCATCTGGTGCCAACAATTCCATTTTAAAAACCTGTTTATGTAACATAGTGATAAAAAAATATTTTTTTAATTTTTTTTTTTTTATAAAAACGAAGTATTTTCTAGAGTTGTCTCACTACAGTAAAAGAAATAGCAAGCTTAAAAATATATCACTTTTTGGGCAGTCGTTCGAGGAGATTCCACAATGCAAAAGGGTCTTTTTTTTTTTTTTAGCTAACATAATTGTGTTTTAAACTGGATTGATAACCAAATAAATATATTATTAAATAAATTAGAGTACGTTACCATCAAAAGGGGGGAATTTAAGTTCAGGAAGGATATTTATTGAATTATAAATACCAGTAGGTTTCCAATCCGTTTCTTCCACCGAGGCATTCTTTTCTGAAAGTTTTATGTGCAATTTTGAGGGATAACAGGCTCACAGACGGAAGGTAACTGGATTTTTCAAGGGGGAGGAAGAAAAAGGGGAAGACACTAGAGCATGGTGACAACATAGCTCCTTCCCACTGGCTCGTTTGAGCTTTCAGGGCCATATGATTTGAGGCTGCTGACTCGCTGAGACAGAAAAAGCTGCATCAAAATGAAAATAAGGACATGTAGCATGAAGAACAACTTCTCCGGCATCTGCAGCCTCCCTAATAAGCTGACAAAAAGGCTTGTTATAAAATCCTCCATCCTTACTCCTGAAATAAGTGAAGAATGGGACTGGAAACATGAAGGTATTTAAAGGAAAAACCCAGTATATATGGTTTTGCAGAATAACGGCATTTTTAAACCGCTTTCTGATGTCAAAAAAATAGTCTCAACATTGTTATTGTTAATGGCGATAATAATCAGATGGGTTTCACCTTTCCAGTCCCCCTGAAAATGATAATCAGGAGCCTGCTCTTCTCCGTTTTTCCGTACTTCCCAGAGGCCTCATCATGCCTTGTGTGCTGCTCTACCTTAATTGAAAGGGAGGAGGTATTGAATATTTAACCAGCTTCCTTTCTCTTAAATGTTAATTAAAAGCTAAATAGGTGTTTAAAAACAAACAGAAAGCCCAAAGAATTTTAATCAGTCTAAGGAAAAAATCACTTCCCCCTCCTAATAGCTCCACCATAACTCTCCTGGGCCTTGTCTACACACAAACTTGTAGCAGGGTTTAGAAACAGCACTGAAAGCTGGGCAGCCCCTGGCGTGGACAAAAAGGTTTTCTTTAAAAGAGATTTATTTAAGTTTACTAGGAAAAAATCAAACTATCTCATCCATCTGCTGGAAAAGGAGATGGAAGTATTTGCAGCTGGTTTAAGCCGCCCCAGAGAAAGCCTCTGGTGCCTCTGTTCTTCCCGATGAGCTCGGGTGCACAGACACTGTTATGGCTTTCCTAACCTGGGATGTGAGCATTCACCCACATGGATGGAGGGGGGGGACAGCAGAGATGATGTCTGTGATTAGACACACCTCAGAATGACTCAAAAATCAGCACTGTGGCAAACAGAGGTCCCAGTCCGTGTGCCAGCACAACGTCGGCTCTTGTGGTGCCGCCGCTTTACGAGCTCTGCGCCCGCTGGGGCAGTGAGGTTTTGAATTTTTAACGTTCGGGTTTTTCAACATTTCTAAATTTATTCTCCCCAAAAAGAAGTGCACTTTGACCTCGTTGTAAAAAAACCAAACCAGACGCGGCCAGGTTACCTCTTTGTGCCGTGCCGCCTGTAAGAGCGGATATCCTGCAATCCTTCCCAAGGAAGCTCTCGGAGCGCTCTTCAAACAGCAGCTAGAAAAATTCCACACTGTCCCAGACAACTCCCCTGTCTCAATGGGCAGCTGAATTGTCCAGCACAGAGCTCTGATGGTCTGGGAATATAACCCCATCCTCCTGACTCTGCGCCTTGTACCCAGCTGGTGTCCTCTACAATCCTCACTACATCTGCACTGTCAGATCACATCATCCAAAATTATCCATTTGCCCGTGTCTCCGCATCATCCCTGTTATTCCTGGACAGTAACTGTGCGTCACAGAGCACACCTTATCCAACAAAAGCTCTTCACCTCACTCCCAACGCTGTTAAGCCCGTGGTATCGATGGTCTATCACAACTTAAACATCCACCGGTACTTTTAGCTGGAAAGCACTGTCTGCAGACATAAAGACCACAGCAGTAAGGTGTTGGTATCTTCTGGATATAAATATATATACATATATATATATATATATCTGTTTAAAAAATATAGACAGATGTGAACCAGCAGACTTTCAGAGCTCCAGAGGCTCCCTCTGTATTTGAAATTAATTACTGGATCGTAAGACATGCAAAGTTCTTGTGTATGTCCTGAAGAAATTCTAACCTTACTGAAAATATTCATGCATCCTGCATATTCATGCTGCTTTTGGGGGGAATAATCAATAGGATAATCGGGACTTATAAAAATATGCATACTTTAGCAAACTCAATATCCATCTTTTAAGTCTTTTCCTGTACTGGGGGCTGATAAACATCTTAAAAAAATCTGCAGTTTCAAATGGTATTTTGCCCCCAAAAGTGATTTAACTTTAAAAAAAACTAGTTCTTTTTTATGCACAGATAAAACCTCATTTTTAACATCCAAAACATGAACATCTGATTAAAAACCATCTGCACTGAAATACTAACAGAGAGAGGGAAAAAGAGTTTCAGGATTTCAAGCCAAACATTCAAAAACTTGTGTGTGACCAACTTAAAAATATGAAATGTTTTAAAAAGATAAGAAATCAGCTGGTTTTCAGTCTGAACTTTATGCATACATCTGAGAACTATTTCATAATTTTATTCTAGAAGCGCAAGAACTAGTAAATTTCAAATCCTTGGTTTAAATGGAAGGTGACATGCTCACCACCTTCCAGAAGACAAGGCTTTAAAAAAACCAGACAAAACACACCTAATATTGTGAAAGTTGCAAAAAATAAAGAAATTCGGCAACTATCCACCCTCTTTTAATAATTCAAAGAGAGTTCCTGAGCTCTTTAGTAATAACAGATGAGGAATGAGAGAAACAGTAAATAAGGATGCAGTCCTGCAGTCCTACACTCCGTCTGCAGTTTTGTCTGTCGTGCAGATTCACGTACATATACGCAATCTTATCTATTAATATGCAGTGCTGGATCCCACATCTGAAACTTCATCTTGTCTTCTTCCATTTAAACTTTTAACCTCTGTGGGTTTTTTTTTTGTTTTGGTTTTTTTGTTGTTTGTTTGGGGTTTTTTGGGGTTTTGTTTTTGCAAACACTTTCCGTAATAAGATTTGAAGTCTGGATTCAACTTCTGGATCCAACGCTTTAACACTTATCCCAGATAAGGCTATATGTGATAAAAGCTGGGCTGTTTTCAACCCTCCATGAAGTATTGTAAATCTACAGTAATAGCAGTATTTGAAGAGTTATTCTGAAAGTATATTTAAGAGTAAATGAAAGGTATCTGGCTCGCCATTTCTAGCGTGAATTTTCCTGAAAATGCCTGACAAAGCATCTTTTACAGATCAAAAAATAAAATCAGGGAAACCGTAACAAGATTTGAGAAGCTGACTTCCAGCTGACACCCAGTTTTTGGGCTCCCCGTTCACATTAGAGCAGATTAAAAATTAGATTAGTTGGAGAACAGCTTACGGAACTCAACTTCTCTTTAGGAAAAGCACAGCCTTGCAAAGCTGTGGTGTGCCAGACACACACAGCTCTCCCACCCTCCAACCCCCACTGATGAAGGAGGGCTGGGATGGCAAACCACAGTGTTCCCCCCCCCCAAAAAAAAATAGACCAGTTACATAAGTTAGTCACAGTTATCTTTCTGAACTGCCCTGGGACTTTGAATAATCTCGAGCTCCTTCCAAGCACTGCCTGACAGAGAAGAAAGGGAGATTTTCCCTTGACAGTTTACTGGCTGTGCAGGATGAATGGCTACGGGATCTTCAAGCCCGTACCTATTTCAGCATTGGAAAAGAGCTCTGTTATGAATCTGTAAGTTCACTGACACATTGAAACTAAGCACCCAACACACGCACTTGGAAACGACAGTCTCTGGCACAGAAAATACTGCTTTTGTTTTAAGACTCTCTTTACTAGGTTTAGTATATAAATACCAAGTCTGTCGCGCGCGTCAAGAGGAATTCCCAGGATCATTTCATCTTTCTTAATCTTATTAGGAAGGTAGAGCTTTAAGTAACTCACAAACGTATTAATCACGTTAAAGAAATTGGAGAAGCGGAATATTCTGCAAAGTAGTTTGACATCCAACCAGAGAAGTAGCAAGAGTAAAACCCACTAACTCTGAAGAAGATTAAGAAGGCCCAATCCTACACAGACACCCCTCTGAAAACAACGGGGTTGCTCGTGCTTAGAGAGTGCACAGAAATCATCTTCAGAAATGAGCCCTTAAACACTTTGCATTTCTTTACAGCCGGTTCATCTCAGATCCAGTCCCAACAGTGACCTTCAAACACCCAGGCGCTCCTCTCAGTTCACTCAGTACATTCAAGACTCTCCTCAGAGTTGAAACATGCAGGGCAGTTAAAAAAACCCCTAAAATTTACGTTTAAATTTACCATGAAGATAAATGTATGGCTACGGTGGACCTTAGTGTCAGCGAATAGAAAACACTTGGGAGTTTCAGAGAGAGAGGGGAGCTGCAATATCTAAGTAAAAAAAACCCACAAAGTATGACCATAATCTACTGGATAAAATGATCGTGGATGGAATAATTTTCTAAAAGACAAAGAAAACCCAAAACTTTTTTTTTTCCCCCAAAATAAATTGGCCACGGTGCAGGACACTGACTATACACAGTATACTGTACTCCTAAAAATTATCGTGTTCTTAAGGTTGACTTCTGTTAGTATCACTGCTGTGCTCTCAGTGGTAATTATTTGAAAGTGTAGAAGATAATGAGGTGTTATCCATTGGTCCACGACCTCGATCCCTCAACCACAAAATCTGCAAATATGTAAACCACTGATAAGTTTCTTCATCCTATACCGTTGCTAAAGCAGGTCTTGTTATTAAGTATTTCTAAAAAAAAAAAAATCCTCTTCGAAATGGGATACATTTGCAAACATTTGTGATCTTATATTGTTCTCTGCTATTATATAAGATTTCTATAAGATCCCATTTCTTCATTTCCACTCCGTGTACAACTCTCTCTCTCCCCGCTTGCTCTCTCTGTCTCATTTGACAGGCAAATTTGCAGACATTGCCTGAGGATAACAACCTCGTTTGACAGTCAATTAACCGTGAATAGTCAAAGCCAAGGCAGTTTGCATTACATAAATGGAAAATTAGATTCCTTTTTCCCAAGAAACAAAAACCTCTCCTTAAGACACTGCAATAGACAACTTAGTATCAAAACTTCTAATCACGTCTTTCCCAAACCCCTTGGAGACATTTAGCAATCAGTAAAAGGTGGTTTCATTTAATTTGTATAATGTAATTTTTGTAAATGTATTATACATTTTGTGTAGAGATCATTATCATGGAGATAATATAAATGTTGGCATAGATGTCATAAAACACCTTTAATGTCTTTCTGACAGATATTAAAAGCAATAAGCTGTGATCCTTTTTAATGGAAGGTTTCAAAGAGAACATTTCAATTATTGTCATTTTATGCTTTTCCAGCCTGTTTCATTGTGTAACCTGATACATTTCGGGAATTTCTGCTGAAATATGCCCAGCAATTAATAATCTTATTCCTATTAATGTCACTGCTTTCCACCTATTTGCATTTCTCTCAGTTATATTTGCTTGGAATTGTTTTTATCTTTACCCTTGTACTAAATATTCAGACATTTGATTATGAATTTAAGCCTCTGCCTCTTTATCCTCTACCTTTTTCTGAGCCTACCTGCTATATCTCTCCAGAAGTCTCCTCCTGAAGGCTCTGAATCTGTGATGAAAAAATTATGCTCCTTGTTCTTATCTGAAATCCAAACAAAATGCAGTGCTTAAAATGCTTTTACCACCAAGAAACCCCAAACCAAAATGAGTATCAGAATCCCAAGGAAATAGTAAATATATATTTCTACATTCACCAGGCACAGAGACACATTTTGGATGCGAATGAATATAATGCTAAATTACAACCATAGAGAGACTATTAGAATGTTTTAATGGATTTTTTTAATTGAAATCACGGAAGTGATTTATTTTTATTTAAATCGAGCCATGGAGAACAAACCCACTCAGCTCACAACTCTGAATTCCCACCTCGTGGTGAGCGGACAGATCCACATCTGTACTCACCTGAGAAGGTGTCCTCCTTCGTGGGCAAGATGACCTGATTACTCTCCTTGCTCTTCTGATTCTAGAAAAATGGGAGTGAAAAGCACAAGATCAGTGTGGAAAATGACAAGGAGCAGATAAGCAGTTTCGGGTGGTTTATTAGCAGCACAAATAGTGCCCAGGGAAACAACACAGTGGGGAATCCCACTGTGTGGGCATCTTCCACAGCCACATTCACGGAGGAATCCCACCGTGGCCTCATCCACAGCCACCTTTATGGAGGGAGCACATGTCCCACTGGAAATTTTCAGGGAATGTGCAGGGTGGATGAGGGCACCATCTCAAAATAGGGGCTGGACCAGTTGCCCCATGTGTTAATCTGAACTGAGGGGGTCAGGCTGTGGAGCAATACCCACTAACACTGCAACACCCTGCTGGGAAAGGCACCCACCAATTAAATCTGACAAATTTATTTTTATTAACTTGCAGGGCTGCTCTGTGGATGCTGCATCCAGGCCTGGCATGCCTGGGACTCTGTACAGCAGTGCCACCGTTGAGGTGGCTTCCCACGGGGATGGGTGTCCCTGGGACAGTTGCCCACTCTGCCCTGGGCAAATGGGTTTGGGCAACCCCGATTTTGGGGGTGAGGGGAGCAGGGTGGGCTTGACCATGAGGCCCTAGTGGGCCATGTCTGGGCACAGACCATCAGGGCTAGCTTGGGGCTGAGCACCACAGGCTGCTGGGGATGTGGCACCTGACATGATGGTGGGAGGTACCCGGTGCCTGACCTGGCCATGAGGGATTCACAGTGCCAGTGACCAGGAGTCAGGGAGTACAGAGTGCCTGACATGATGAGCGCCGTCTACTTGCCCCACCCAGAGGACCCCTCCCGCCCCGGTTTCAGTATCCAAAAACACGGGAAAG